CAGACCCCTCACCAGCTTTGTTGCTCTTCTCTAGAATTCCCCCAGCCCCTCAATGTCTTTCTTATCCTGTAGCACCCGAAACTGACCCCAGTACTCAAGCTGTGGCCTCCCCAGTGCCGATCCCAGGGGCATGACCACTTCCCTGCTCCTGCTGGACACACTATTTTTGATACAGGCCAGGATGCTCTTGGCCTTTTTAGCCACCTGGGCATACTGCTGACTTATGTCCAGCTGGGTGGCCACCAGCACCTCCAGGTCCTTCTCTGCCAGACAGTTTTCCAGCCACTTTCCAGCAACTGTGGTTGAGGGGCTGGAGGGAGTGGAAGTGATAGGGGTGAAGTCAGAGAAAAGCCATTTTTTGCACTGAGTGGGGCATCATGCACTGGCTGCCTTTTATGCTGATACGCTCTGAAGTTAATTTAAGCCATGATCTGTCTTCTTGCCCTCAGGTACGTACTGTACCCCTTGGACCTCTATAATGACAGCGCATACTATGCCTTGACCAAGTTCAAAAAGCAGTTCCTGTACGATGAGATTGAAGCTGAAGTAAGTTCTTCTCATATTTATTGTATGGAAGGAGCTCACCGGGGTCACATTGCCCTGTTTGACAGATCTACCCAGCAGTTCAGTGATTTCATTATAAGCATCTCCTGAAAAAATACCCCATCAAGACTGAGAAGTTTTCAGAATATCAGAATTCTCAGAGAGCTTACTGACTCTGTTAATTAAGCTTCAGCTTAGCTGTACCCGTGGGGAACTGTGGAAGCCAAAGTCTGTCAGACACTGGGGCGTGGAAGAGTCTGGGCCGAGGGTTATGAGACATCAGAGGAAAATGAGAAACTTGAGATCCCTGAGAGAGAAGGATGACTGGGGATGGGGGACCAGGACCTCTAAGTCATACAGAAACTGTCAGAGGGAAACATAGCTGCCATTCTCTGCTTAGCTTTAGCATGTGAGAACTGCAGCGTGGTTTTTAGACGGTGTGGTGTGTGTATGTATTCCATTAGAGCTCTGTGTTCAGCTGTATTGATCTTACATGCGTAGGAAGGAGCTCTGTGCTGGTCACACCCTCACGAAATCTTGTTCTTCCTCCTCCAGGTGAATTTGTGCTTTGATCAATTTGTGTACAAGCTGGCAGATCAGATCTTTGCCTATTATAAAGCAATGGCTGGCAGGTAGGAGAACCTGACTGGTGGTGATGACAGATGATATCTCTGTGTCTAAATTGCTGTTAACCAAAAGGTTCCCCTCGGGGAGCAGCCACCTCAAGGAGACTTAACAAAACAGATCATCTCTGTCCCACTGAGCTGGCTGTCCATGTCAGACCACTGTAGATGGGGAAAATGAATTAATGGTGGCAAGGAGACATGGTTAAAAGTGAAAAAATAATAATTCGCATCCTAAGTAGCTGTCTGAGTAGGATTTATGAGAGCAGCAGCAGAGCAAACCAAGCCTAATGAAGACATGTCCTTGCTTGCTTGCCTCCTGTCTCCCCTGAACAGGAATATGCACTTTTCCTCACCCTAGTAAAGCAGCAGGACTTGTAAAAGCTAGAAGATGGGACCTGTCCTAGGTCCCACATCACACCAGCTGACTGCAGGACTTCTGCAGTTGCTTGCTCCCTTTTGGGGAAATAGACCCTTTGTGACATTTCCTTCTTAACAATTTAAAGAACGTGGATGAACTCTAGTATGGGTTCTCGTTTCATGTCCCCAAAGGTGAACCAAGCCTGTGGTGTAACTCTGCAAGGCGTTTTGTCACTAAAGCACATTTCACCATAGAGAAGAAGAGCAATCACCATCACGAACCAAATGTTCCCACAGCAGATCTTCAAGGAGGGAGCACACCTGTGGGACCACCCCAGTACCTTGCAGTAGTGATATCTTCCAGCACAATCTTTTATCTTTTTGAATGCTTTAGCTATAAAAGCCAAGAATGATGGCCAACAGCACAGCAGTCCCCAGAGGACAACCACTGCTCTGTGATCTAGTGGCGTAAGCAGAGTTAGTGTGGGGAGATTTCTTAGCAGTCAGAGCAAGAGGAAAAGAAGGATGAAAACAACTCTGGAAAAAAACAGAGACAAGCTGAAAATGTATGTTTCTATTTTCCTGACACTGCTTCCTTTTTTTCAGTGTTTTACTGGACAAACGTTTCCGGGCTGAATGTAAGAACTACGGGGTGATCATTCCATACCCACCATCCAACCGCTACGAAACGCTGCTCAAGCAGCGGCACGTCCAGGTACGGGGCCAGGGGCCCACACCAGCACCCCGGCTCCTGGGCTACTGTCCTTCTGCTGGGGGCTGGCATCGAGGTCAGTGCTGGGATGAGGAGGGATGAAGCTGTTCCTGACACGCTACACTCAGGGCACGGGGCCTGAGGGGAAAATGAGTTCTGCTCCTCACTGTCCTCCTTGTCTCTTAAGGAAACTGAAGCAAGGCGTTTGCATCACCACTTTCACATCTAAGCAGACTTGGTTGTTTCGTTTTAATTTACAACTGCTGAAAAAGAAATAATGTACCTTTTCCCCATCTGTGGGTGTATATATATACATACATAACATGTAGATATGTTCTCTTCTTTTCCCAGCTGCTGGGGAGATCAATTGACCTGAACAGGCTCATTACCCAGCGAATCTCAGCAGCGATGTACAAGTCGTTAGACCAGGCCATTAGCCGCTTTGAGAGCGAGGACCTGACATCCATAGTGGTAAGAACTGTTAGTGACTGTGAGTATGAACAGCAAGAATAATACACTGCTCTGGATACACAGTCAACTCTCTTCTGCTTCAGGTCCCACCTAGAGCAGGTTTCAGCCGGCCATGTATCCTCATCTATGCTGCCGAGACTCTACTATTTTTATTTATGCAGTTTTAATTGCATTAGTATTGGGCCATTAAGTATCTGCATAAAGCATAAGGTGACAGTCAGCAGTTTGATTTTGCAGAGCTCAAATAAGAGCAGTCTGTATCCTTGGAGAAGGAAATCTTGACTTTAATTCCCTGTTAGATGAAGGTGGCTGAGACATCGTCTGTGTGTGTACACAGGATTTGCTGCCGTTGATACATTAGAGGAGCATCAGAGTCAAGGAGTGTAAAAATACTGTTTTCCACCTCTGAAGGATTCTGATGTGAAAGCCACCCAGTGCTCAGTGGGGAAAAAAATAATTTAGTTTCCTGCAGGTTTAGGAGATACTGAACAAGGACCCCTTGAGTAGAAGTGCAATTGGCCTTGGCCACTGAGTTAAATTGGTGTCTTTAGCATTTGCTACGTCCTCACCTGGAAAATTCTGTGTGAGTGTGGATAAAAAATCATTCCCCTGGCAATTAAATCAGCTGTTTCTATTGTCATCTTGGTAATGTGTTGCATTTGCTGCTGCTTTGTGTGCTGCAGGAGCTGGAGTGGCTCTTGGAAATAAATCGGCTGACTCACAGGTTGCTGTGCAAGCACATGACTCTGGACAGCTTTGACGCCATGTTCAGGGAGGCCAACCACAACGTCTCTGCGCCCTATGGGCGCATCACCCTCCACGTCTTCTGGGAGCTCAACTTTGACTTTCTACCCAACTACTGCTACAATGGATCCACCAACAGGTGAGGGGAGAAAGCAAGGTAGGGTCACCTGGAGACCCTGCTTTTCTTTCTAAAACAGCAAACCTGCCACACTCCCACGCATTGCAGTGAAGTTTTCATTCCCTATGGGGTCCAACAGTTACAGTTAAAATGAAGTTAAAGCCCACCAGCTCCCCTTGGATTTGAAAACATTAGTAACAAATTCAAGCAACAAAGTTGGACAGTGACTGCAAGCAGCTGAGCTAGTTTGGTTTAGAGGGTTGGTTTACTGAAGAGCAGAGCTGTGGTAGCTGCTCACATACAGGTTTCTTGCCTGCCTCAAATGAGAAGAAAGCTCACCTTTGGTAGGTTAAACTGACATGGTTTGCACCACCAATAGACTGGGGCAGAAGTTTGCATTCCAGTTCATGTAGCCCAGGTGATGAACTGCTGATGGGTCTACAACTGCAGTTCATCCCAGGCCATGCCATGTCGGCGCTCAGCACAATTAGTCGGGCTCTGACCACTTTCCTCCCCATCTCCCATGCCCACCACAGGTTTGTGAGGACAGCAATCCCCTTCACGCAGGAGCCCCAGCGGGACAAGCCAGCCAACGTTCAGCCGTATTACCTCTACGGGTCCAAGGTCAGTAAATGAGCCACAACAGCCACAAGGGGTGGTTGTTAGACGTATTTATTTAGGAAGAAAGAAAAGCAAGAACTACTCCAATAACAGAACAGTGGGTGCAAATGTGCAAGGTCATGTTGCTGTGTGAAACCAAAAAGCCATGCAAGAAGCAGATCTAGTGTGCTTTTGCTATTGCTTTTCCATGTTCTTCTCCATAACATGCCTATGTTAGGGGATGCTGACACCGCCTCATGCTTAGTGTTGGCACTGAGACCAAGTCACATCCATCTAAATGCATGAACTGGAGAGCAAGTTGAAGCAAGCAGTGCTTCTCCCCAAAGAAGGTCCTACTTCAGGAATCCCATTTGTAGTTCAAAATGGGAATTACTAAAATAATTGTGTGTGCAAATAGAGACTACTTACTACTGACAAAAAGCTCTTCTGTCAGGCTGTTTGTACAGGTGTTATGAGGGCTTGGGGTGTGATGCTAATAGAGGATCACTCAAGTGTGAAACTACTTGAATGGAATTGATGGATGGCTCTGAAGTGAACCTGTAGCACTGATGCAGATTAGCTAATGACACCACAGTCAGCTGAGCCTGGCTGTTCCCAAAGAGCTGACTTGGTTTCTTTTTAAAAAAGCCCTCAACAAATGAGAATTTTTTTGTCACTTGACAAAAATCTTTCACTCTGCAACCAATGTACCTGCCTCACATCACACCCCGGGACAAACAGGCCCCATGGACACACAGTCCTTTTGGCAAGAGCTGGGAAAGAGCAGCATAAACCACACCTCTAAGCAGGGTTTCCCTTTATTTTGCTCTCATTGAAGGCCATGTTGTGGCAAGATGGCCCTTTTATCATCGCTGGTTTTATAGGAAAAAAAGCAGTGGGGAGACCTGTACGGACTCTCTCTCTCGAAACTGGAGCTCCTCGTTAGCACGGTGGTCATGGGGACTTCCAGAAGCTCCTCTCTTAGCCCCTCATTCAGTGGCCCCTCTGGTGAGCTGCTCCCTTCGCCCACTTCTTCGAGGCTGGCCTCGGGATGCTTCAGGCTCGCAGCCCGGTGGCACCGTGCCGACCAGAACTGCAGGCAGCCGTAGGCCAGGAGAGCAGTGAAGCAGAGGAGCAGCAGGCTGCTCACCATCCACATGGAGGGGGTAGGTTCCTGCTTAGAGCCACCAAAAACCAGGGGGGATTTGTCCAGAGTGTGGAAGGTGGTGCAGTGGTTGCTGGAGGGGTAAGAGTTCTTGCACGTGATGCAGAGGACGTAGATGGTGGATGGTGTGAGTCGGTGGAGGACAAGGGAGCTGAGGGGGTGAGGAACTCGCTCCTCCCGGTGGAAGTTCTGGCGTAAGTAGCCTGCAAAGACACTGTTCCAGTTGGGGCGGTACATGACGTGGTAGTAGTTCTCTGGACAGGGGTTGCTCATGGCCCAGGACACGGTGGCACTGGTGTAAGTGATGTTGTGCACTTCGATGTTCATTGTGCCCCTGAAAACAGATGCAGGGAGAGGCTGAGTTTCCCAATTTGTGTACAGGCTCAGAGGCCACTGACAGCAGTGAAGTCTTTCCACAGGCTCTGCCAGACCTTAGACTGGACTCGGGACCATGGCTGGCTAGCTTAGATCAGATGCTAGGTCTTAGATGGCTAACATTACAGAAGATTAATCCTGCTGGTGCCCAGACGACTTCATCACCCTGCTTCATAACCAAAAAAAACCAACTAAGGCATAGGGCATACTTTATGTTCTAGTTAGATTTTTCAGAAATCTCTTCTTTCTGACTGGTTGCCCATGTAGGAAGCTTTTTTTAGACTTTTTTAATTTCCATGGAATAGAAAAGATACTGCAACTGTGATTAACATAAACTGATCATTAAACTAGCTCCAAATTGCCTTGTGAAGCTGCCAATAGATATTTTGATTTTACACCTAAATGCCATTTAAAAAGATGCATAATGACTCATTCGCTCATTTAAGTTGTTGCTGCATTTTCTGTACCTTACTTGTTGCTTAACAGAGTATAAACTCTTTCTGTTCCTACAGCATCTCACATTGTAATATTAAGATCTTAAAAGTGAAATCTGAAGGTGGGTGATAGATAAAATCAATGCCTTAGGGAAATGCAAATGTATGAATAATAAATATAAAGCTTTCCTCTAGACAAAAGACACTGACCACTAACAAATTACTGTGTAGGAACAGACACAAACCACTTCAGGACCCCACTGAAGATCCCCAAAGTGCTCTCTGAGCCTCACTGCTGGGTCTTCTCTCCCAACCAGCCGAGTGCTCCGAACAAGAGCTGCATGCAATAATTTTTTGCCTTCTTCCTCTTCTTTAGCTATAAGTAACTTTCCTGTAATTCAGTCAAGAATCAATTCATCAGTTTTAGCTCCCTACCCAAAGAGCAGAAGACCACGTGTGCCCAGCGCTGAGCCCTCCCGCGCCGCGGGCAGCCGCTTACCTCCCGGCAGGTCCCCGCTCGGTGCTGGGAGCACTGTGCACAGCCAGGCAGCACCCTCCCTGGTGCTGGGGAGCACTGTGGGCACAGCCAGGCAGCACCCTCCCTGGTGCTGGGGAGCACTGTGGGCACAGCCAGGCAGCACCTTCCCCTCTTCCCACCGCTCACCTCCCTCTGCCTCTGCTGAATCCCTTCCCCGGTGCTGCCTGGTATTATACCCGCCTGGGGCTCCGTCATCTCTCACCATGGCAACCAGTAAGAAAGGATGGGCAGGCGTCTTCAAGTAATTTGGGAATGTTAGCCTTAAAAGCTTCTGCCTGAGAGAAGTATGTGTCTCTGAGGGGGAAAAAACAAGCCAGGCAGTTGTGTTTGCTGGCTTCTTTGAGTTGGTTGGGGTTTTTTTTTGCTTGTCCACAGTCCCCCAGCAAGATCATCACTGGCCCCCCCGCAGGTCCGGGGTTAGAGACACATTGATACATGGTATGAGGTCCAGGATCCTCCTCTGAAGTATACATTGATAGTTTAGCACTTGAGAGCTTCGTCTTCAATTCTATGATTTCTTGCACATTGAAACTACTGATTTAAGCCAAAATGTGTTTGAGAGAAAAACTTTCCTAGAAGAAATTTGGGGTTGGGTCTGGAGTTACTTATTCTATGTTATTCCTGGACAGTTGTTTGCAGCAATTCAAAGATCATCTAAATATCAACAGTGATGAGATAATGCAGACTGCATCAGGAAGGGCTATTACAAACCTAGGAAGTATGTGTGACCCTTGCTTTTGATTTACATCCTGTAGTTCTGGCTGGTTTGGTTTCTTCTTCCAAGATCTGTATCCCCTCCTGTCTTAGTGAGTGAGCTGTGGCTGCCAGTGAGCTGAAAACTGGGAGAAAAGGTGAAAATAATTATACACAGGGATGGAAATGAAAGTACTCCCAGGTGGCTTCCTGCCTTTTACATGGCATGTCTTGTTTACAAGAGCAGGGGATAGAGAGCTCTTAGCTGGTCCCATGCTGTGAATAAAGTACATCCCTGAGAGATCAGGATACAAATCCAGGCTTCAGAAAGGTGGCTTACACCAGGTGGTAATGCTTTCATGAGATAACGTTGAGCTTCTTGAGTTTATCAGTGTTCACAGTTGCTTTGAAATTAAATTTCGGCTATTCACAAATGAGATGTGTTGTCGGGAAGAGAGGAAACAGAGGAAAACAGGAATAGTTGGATTGGGCCAGCAAAGGGTCCTGCTGACCTTTCTGCATGCCAGGATCAATACCACTAGCTCAAAGGAAACCTCAGCAAAGCCTTCAGTAGTGTTGGTATTACTTGCTCCCAAAATGAAGCCTACACCTGTTTACACTGCTGCCAAAACCGTGCCGGTGCCAGGACTGCTTTGGCACTGGTGTTACCTCATCTGCAGGTGGACCCGGCTGCGGCCCTGCCTGGGGGCAGCTGTGGCCCTCGCTCCTCATGGTAGGATGCAAACTGCTGGCACGCTCCAGTGACCAGCAGAAACTGAGCAGAAACTGAGCCATGTTCTGTCATTCAGCCACTTATCAAACACAGCAGGCTGCCAAGTCTCTGACAAAGAAGCTACAAAATTACCAGCAACCCACTACTTACTGCTTCTTAACCACTTCTTAGCTCTGTAAATGCTCTAGATTTGGCTTCATTTATGTAATTACATGAGTGCTTCTGTTTTTCTTGCTGCTGCTGGACCCAAGTTCACACTGGACTTGCTGGAAATCCGTTTCCCTGCTCGAATTTGCTCCCCTGTTTTTTAACAAGCAGGCAAACAGATGTAACCTGAAGGACAGTGTATGCTGCCAGCGCCTGTAAAAATAGTTACAGCTTTTGAATGGGATGGAGCCACTCTATTTTCTGCTGCCACATCTGCAGCAACAGCACAAAGGTGCTGAGGAGCTGTGGTTTCAGCCG